ATTTCAATAGGTGCATAACACTCATATTAGCTGTTCCGTTACTTCATTCATTTGATTTTGTTTTTTATACACCAATCTTTTGCACAAGATTTTACGTGCTTCGTAATTCCCTGAGGCTTAAAGAATTTACCACAATCAGGACAGATGTATTTACCATTGGTGTCTCTAATTAATATTTCTGTAACTTTTCGCTGTACTACTCCATCAGATGCTGCCAAATCCTTTCCTCTACGTTCGACCGCACGTTGTTTATAGTCAAAAATAATCTCTTTTATGTTTGGATGAATAGGCCTAGTTTGGGTACTCTGGTGCACCTGTAAAAGCATATGTCTTAAATTTGTAAATATGATCTATAATCGAAACTCAAAAATTATTTTATCTTTTGTATTCAAAGTCTTCTAGTATGAATTTGACAGAAATGAAAGAAAGACAATACTTATTTTTTCACCATAATGAAAGCACATTTTCAGCAAAAATTCAAACACATATTCATTAAATAAAAATTCATTTAATTTTCATCCGTTCTATTTGTAGAAAAGAAAATGACTTTAGATCCTTTTCTCCATTGTAGATGGTTAAAATTGGACTACAAATTAAAGCAACTTTAGAAAATATAACTAATTTTCGAATTGAATCGTGCAATGATTTTATATGGTATTTAAAATTACAATGTACTCATTGTAAGGAAACATCAGATATGTATCATGATATAAATATTCAACAGTCATCCGCAATTAGTGGAAGTCGTGGTGAGGCACATTTTATTATGAAATGCAAATTTTGTTCGTATGAAAACAGTTTGAATGTTGATGTAATACAACCATCTGTACAATACACAGCAGATGATTCTGATCGACATATATTCAAAACAATTGTTGTATTTGATTGTCGTGGTATCGAACCCATTGATTGGCAGCCTGGCGATGGATGGACATGTGAAGGAATTGAATCTGAGACAAAATTTAAAAATATAGATTTAAGTGAAAATAAAGAATGGACAGATTATGATGAAAAATCCAAACAACCTGTTAGCATCAATGACATTGAACATAAATTTATTAAAGTTAGGTAGAATTTCGTTGTACATGTTTAGAACCTATTCGCTCAAATAAAAAATAAGAGTATGGAAAGTAGTATTATGTACGTACAGCCCAAACTGTCTGTATGTATAATCTATTTTGTTTTCGACCTTGCACGTACTCTCTAAAGTTTCTCAAAGGTCGAAATCCCATGAAACGAAACGAATTACGTAACTCTCTGTTCTTTTCGACACGGCTATGATTACGTCTTTTCTTTCGTTCGTGACTTAGGCGGAATATACGTTATTTCGTAATTTTGTACAGAAAATGAAAGAAAATTACGTAATTCTTTCATTATAACCGTCAGAGAATTTCTCGTTCCTTCTTTCGTTTCTAACGTACCTCTTTCGGCTCATCACTACCTAAAAATGCACAAATAAATGTATAATGCATTTTCTTGTTATCGGATTGGCGTTACTATTGTTTAGTTGCATAAAGCACCATCTTAAGGACTAAGCAATTCGAAGGGAAACTGTAGATCTTTGAGTTTACAAAACTGCTCGTTTTTGCATTTTGAACTTGAAATCAGTGATATTAAGTAGCGAAGAGGAAATTCACAATCAATTTTTAGATTTAGTTACATAGAAAATATGCTCGACTTTCACAACTAATGTCAGGTTAATTAAAGCACATAGTAATAAATAATGTTCATGGATAATTGTTGGACGATCGAACTATGTTTATATACAGCCAAGAACGAATGGTTAGTAAAGTAGAAGAGTATGTAGAAAAATAAGAAGTCTTAATGATTTCATTCTGACGATCGAACTATGAATAAGGAGTCACATCGTTGTCTACCTATAAGATTGTCACAGTCGTTCTCTAATGCTGTATAACAAATGCAAAGACTGTCTGAATATATCTTCAAAGTTTTAGTCAGTTTTCTATTTTCTTTGTTGCTGTTTCACTCTATCAACTTGGGAATCTTTGTGCGGTATGGTTCGTCTTTGATTTCTTTTCAAGCTTTTAGTCATTCGGTTTAGGGATCCTTTCCCACAAGAATGACTTTATTGAAATTCTTCGAGAAGCAAGGAATTTTCGGCCTTGTCACTTAGCATATTAGAAGATGTGAGGAAGTTATTGAACTTTGCGCTACAATCAACACGTCGCCAATATTTTCTCTTTCAAAAGAACCGAACCAAATGATTTTATGTTGGCAGAGTCATGAAGATTTTATGTTATAGTGCGAAACTTCTGTCTAAAAATGATGATTTGCTGTAAAACTAGATAAAGAAAAAGAAATTCTGATGATATCAGTTGGAATGTACGAAACTTCTAGTTATAAGTTGAAGATCGAGTTAGTGCAGTGGGATGGCTAGTTGAATTTTCCCATATCCCAACACATAAGTTAACCCTTTAACCCCCGCGCCCCCCTCATAGCGGTTCCAGAAGAGCCGGGGGTAGGTTTCGAAGCAAAAACAACATTTAAGGAAAAAAACGTTTCATGTCGTTCCTCCCCAATGATCACTAAAGTGACCATTGTATGGCTTACCATCTCTTATCTGCTTAGCTTTTGTGAAACTTTCGAAAGGCATTGATACCAGTAGTAGACATTATCGTCGATATATATTACACAATACGTCCTCAAGTTGTATCCTGCCTGTAGAAAAATAATTGTTAAAAAAGTTCAACTTTCGTGTTTTTTTCAAACTTACCGATTTTGTAACTCAATGTTTTCAACAAAACAAAATATTCTTTTAATCAATCGATAGCTTATGGAATTCACTACAAGAAACGTCCCCTTTTTGAATTCCATGCTTCCTTTATCGTTTACAATCGTACTACAAATGATCACTCCGGTGACCGAGGGGGGATAAAGGGTTAAGCAGGCACCAGATTTGAACATTTCGTCAAATATTCGTCTGTCGAATTCTACAATAAAAAGAGACACCTATGCATTCTTCCGTGCGTTTGTTTGTATTATGCGTATTGACTATTCAAAAATAAAACGTATTGACACATAAAAACAAATATCGATTCAATTAGGAATAATGTTTTAGTTATTTTCTGATTTTATTTGAATATGCCAGACAAAAAGACTTATCCGCTCAAAAAGTACTCTTTAATAAACATATTCTAACTGCATCTTTCTAATCACCAAAAACATGTTTAGTTTATTATACAAATTAAACTAAAAAAACCGTAATGAATTCTATAGAACTGAAAAAACAACCACTTCGAAAAATTCGTGAAAGTTATCCATATACGTGATTTTGAAGAAATCCGAGAAAAAAGGCTTTTTGGAAATCCTGACGGGTATCACAGAAGTTAAAAACTGCATATAAAATTTTGTGAAAAGAAGATGTAGAAAATGGTCCAAACTGATGTCTCCCATGGAAAAGAATAAAAGTAAAATTTTCGTAGCTTATTCGCCTATCTTCTTTTATTTCTTATCATACGCATGATAAGGAAAAAAATTGAGTCAAATGATTAAAGTAATTATGAAGCATTGACGGATAATCCCGGCTGCTCAAATGACAAGATTTGTAGTGAAATAGCTAATGCATTTTTATCGATTTCGGGTAGTTTTTGAACATTTGAGGTACTATGTATCTCATATAATTTACAGCATTATTCGGATTGTATTCAATGTAATCGACAAGATATTCAATGACATTATCTGACTGACAAATCCGTTACGTGTTTAAATCGTATGTAACGGTTGTATCTTAGATAAAAATTGTTGTATCTAAGATAAAAAATAATATAATATTTTGGTTCGTTTTGTAAAAATATTGAGAGAACTTAAAAAATAAACATATTTCCATTAAAATATAGAAATTTTTATCATTGACGCTGATTATTGTATTCGATATGATGTATAGGACCATCTAATATATTTAGATGTGTTCGACATAATTGGCGCTGTAGTACAGTGGATTCAAGATATAAATTGGAGCAAAGAACATTTACTATATTCGAATGGAGAATATTACCCAATTAGATTATTCTCTATGATTCATTGATTGAGTCATAAGTTTTATATGTTAGATTTTAGCATTCTTTTAGCATATTTATTCAGAAATTTGAACTTTTTTGTCTATTGTGGTGTACGAGTCTTTTAAGAGCGAAAGAGTGAGAGATGTCTAACACTCGCATTTAGTACTGCTTTTTACATAGTTAATGCCTTTCCATGCCACAATTTTCTACATATTCCATCAAAGTCTTTTTTCTTAATGAGTTTCCAAAAATCTTGTTCTTATTTATCTGGATATCGATTAATATTATTCTATTTTTTTCTCAATTTTTCATTTATCATAATGATCGTTCCTATTACTATTTACGTTCTTTGATTCATGATGGTGTGAGCGTATCACGCTCGTCTGCATTATGTCTAAATTTCAATTGTTTTCTAATACTATTACCCGTTTGTCGAAATATTCTCTCCCTAATTCGTAATTTATTACCTTCATGTTTAACAAATTCTAAAGTTCGCCGTTATCTTGTACGTGCATTTGATAATCATATTGGTTTTCATCGTTGTATCGGTTATATGATCTGTTTTTTGAGTATCCTCCATGTTGGCGGTCACATCTACAATTATAATCGGTTCGTCGATGTCAATAAGGAACATAATACACTAGCAGCGGCTTTGAAAAATTTATATTTACAATCAACAAATTCCATATTGAATCCTATAACAAATTATCAAGTGGTCAATGTCGGTGAAATGCTTCGTACCACAGCGGGAATTACCGGTGTTATTTTATCTGTCTGTTTAATACTTATGTTTAGTTCATCAACAATGTTAATGAGACGATCATTCTATGAATTATTTTGGTTTACACATCATTTATTTATTGTATTTTTTATATGTCTTGCTGTTCACGGTATTCAAGGTTTAATTAAATCACAGACAAATGTTAAACAACATGATCCAGTTGTTTGCGCACCAATATACACCAGTTGGACTAATAGTCAATGCCCAGTATTTCCCACCTTCTCAGGATCATCATCCACCAGTTGGATTTGGCTCTTAATACCTGTTGTACTATACATAATTGAACGAATTATTCGTCTAGTGAGAAGTTTACAACATGTTGAAATACAACAAGTAACAAAACATGCGTCAAATGTATTTGAAATTCGTTTTAAAAAATCAAATATGAAACCGCTACCGGGACAATATATTTATATTAAATGTTTTGCAATAGCTAAATTAGAATGGCATCCATTCACAGTTACATCGTCACCAGAAGAAGATTTTATTTCAGTTCATATACGTTCATGTGGAAATTGGACGAAACAATTGGCGGAAAGATTAAAAAATTATCCACAAGATATTCCAAATATCAGTGTAGATGGTCCATATGGTGCACCTGCCGATGATTGTTTCAATTATGATTCAGTAATACTTGTCGGCGCTGGTATTGGTGGTATGTCATCAAATTTAGCCTTTTCTTTATATACTAGAAATATAAAAAACAGCTTAATCATATTTCAAAGCATTCTATTATGAAGATCTAAATTAATTCTCATCTTTTTTTTTTTTTGTTGTCATTGTTTTTTCAGTTACTCCATATGCTGCCATTCTCAAACATATTCGTTCAATTCAAACACCAAACGCTCGATTGGTACGTGTATACTTTTATTGGATTTGTAATACAACTGACGCTTTTGAATGGTTTGGCGATTTGCTTCAACAATTAGAACATGAAATTAATCGTCCAAATTTTTTAATATATAAAATATTTTTAACAAAATGGTCCTTAAATGAAGCAAAAGCGGTGGTTAGAAATCATGATGATACACGTGATCTATGGACAGGTTTACAACAGAAAACTTATTATGGAAGACCAAATTTTGATCAAGATTTTTCTTTAATAAAAGATGAATCTCAGCAGAATAGTGATATCGGCGTATTTGTTTGTGGTCCAAAACAACTTGCAAATCAATTACAACGACTTTGTATTAAACATAATCGAAATGAAAAAAATATTAATTTTTATCTAAATAAAGAGAATTTTTGATTAATATTTATGACAATAATTTTTTTTTCTATATATATTTATATTTTTATATGTTATATTTTTGACACTATTGTATTTCTTTTCTATTCATATACAATTATTTTCGTTTAACGACGATTTGTTACTCTCAGATTGTGGTATTTTAGATGTATTGGTCAATTTTATTTCCAAGTTATTGCTGTTTGATTACTTTAACAATCAATTTCATTTGACTATCGGATGATGAATATAATAAAACAACATTTGTGCTAATATTAACTAATTTATTTTTTTCATAATCAAAAAATGATGGTACACGTTGTTCAGACAGTTCCTGATCTGGACTGTGATAGTACCGAGTGTCGAAAAATCTTAGGATATTAAAATGATTAGAAATAATTGTCAAATGTTCTTAAATTTTACAGAATGTCTCCGATATATTTGTAGTACAACTATGAAGCATTAAATACGATTTTCTTTATTAATTCAATAGAACCTCTATTTGTCTATGTCATCTTTTTCATTTTTCGTTTGTGATACTTGACTGGTCATCAAGATCTTTATTTTTTCACTGTGTTTTTACAGTATTTGTTTGAAATTTGAGGGGTGCTGTTATATTAGACTTAGTTTTCGATATCTTATTCTCAGAAAAATGTTGTTACTGTTCATCTTGATGGAGACATTGATTTATGTACAATAGTCTTTAAAAACGTTTTTTAGTGACTTCATACTCTTCTTTCCTTTCCGCTTATCAGAATTCGATAGCTCGATTTATTCCATAGCTCAGCAATGGGGTTTTGTTATAGATCAAGAAAATTCTTACTGTTTTAGTTTTCGTATTGAACTGTCACTATTGTGATACAAATAATACATTTATTGAAACAAATTGAGATACAAAATTACGTTCGATGAATAGTTTCCCTATAGTGAATACTTCTAGTCAAAACAACACACATCATTTGTATTTTACAGGTGTTGAATACTATTTTTGAAGATGTTTTTCTCAAAATAATAGCATAAACAAATAACTGGCGAAAGAACAAACAGTGGATATTAAAACAGTTCAAATGAATAATTTCGATATGTATTTGAAAGTGAACAATTTGAAGTATATATTTCATAGTATCAACCAAAAGATCTATTAATAGAACCCGTTCATATCTGTTATCACATCGGCCGACAACTGTCGTCTACTCTCTTTCAATCGTGTTCCTCTTAGTCCACAACAAATAAGTAAAATTTTGATATCATCAGTATGGTTCGAAAACTGTTTCGAATTAGTGCGCAGCGGTAGTTGGAAATGCTTATCTATGTCAACAGTCAAGATGTTCATTGGCGTATACCTTCAAGAAAGTATCTCGGCTATTACAACAACAGTCTTACTGCTGAGGATGTCGAACTCAAGCTTGAGCTTAAAAATCGAGTTCAACAAAAATTATTATCTTTTTCAAGTTTTATTCTGTTCGTTAATAGTTTTCCTAAATTTACCATAAATTTACCATTTTTATTGTCATCACTGAAATACCTTTGAAAAGTTGACCCATTTTGGATGTTTTCGATCGAAATTTTATTATTTTTAATCTCTACGGAAAAGTCTGCAAGAGCCTTGATTTTCAGCTTTTCATACTGACTCAACGTCCAACAAAACGGATTATTTAACAGTCATATCTGAGAAGGATCACAACTGAAACTGGCTTTTAAACCAAACGAAATGCATGCGTTTGCTAACCTCTTTCTGCAAATTTAATAAAACTGAAAAGAAAATTGTTAGGTCAAATCGGGCCGACCCGATCGAGCAAAACAGTCAATTTCGACGGCTCAGTCGAGCTAATTTCGTGTAAGACTCGCGAAGACCGAGTCGCTTGAAAGACGACCCGTTTCCAGGTTTAGTAGATATTACTCTCTTACAGTTGGTTCGTTAGTATAACATCTTGTTTCGGTTCTTTCAATACAATATCCTTATTTTTAAAATTGGGTATGGCTTTCGAAAAAATTTTGTAACCATTATTTTAGCTATTGAACTGTTTTCTGCAAATATGAACGTCAAGTGACAGGCTTCGTGTCACGTCCAAGATGACATGACTAACTTATAATATTCAAACTTTGTATCAAAGATGTTTTTGTGGCCTGTTTTAAGAGTTTAGCATAATCAAAATTCTCTCACTCGTAGCAACATGGATGCTTTCTTTCGTTCGAAATTTTCAGATGATACATCGAATAATATATAGTTTAACCTTACAATCTGTAAAAAAATGAAGAACTTCAATTCAAGAAACATCTGAAAGTCAAGTCACAACAACCTTCAACTTTGATTTATATTCTCGAGAAAGAAACTGACATTAATCACAAAATTATAATACTCAATACAAAACCTAGAATGAACCCTTTCTCAATTGAAATATTACCACCTTAATAACCGCTTAATTACCACTTCTTAATAACACTTTTTTAATAAAAGTGTAATTTCTGAGCTGAAATTCAAAAAGTTAAAAGTGCGCAACTGTAGTAAATATAGTGTAATTGAATCATAACTAAACTTACAAGTGTAATGAAAACACCAAAGTGCTTTTTCTTGAAATTTCCAAAGTACAATCAGGCTATAGCAATTGTATATGTTAAACGGGATAATTTAGACGTTAATCTCTATATTAATACTGATCTATTGAAAACAAATTTAGTGAAAATCTCCTTCTATCCGTGTATGAGTGTGTGTGTAATTTTGTTATTGACAATAAATGTTACTAGCAGACGATCCACTTCATTGTCTTTTCTTTCGAAATTTTTAACTGATCCAATCCTCAGCTTTAAAATACCAACATAAGATGTCTCTCTCCTACTGACACCGATTTCTCATACGTTAATTTTTATTTACTATTACTCTCTCACTCTCAGATAACACAATGTGGTCCTTATGACAGCTATTTTACTTCATTTATTTTTCTTCCATTTTTGCTTACATAAAAGCTTATAGAAATTAAGAGAGTAAGAATTAGAGTAAATGCATTCAGATGAGACCACAGTTATGCTTTTTCATGTATTCTAATCATTCTGATTATTATCATCAATATAGTTTCAAAGTTTTCGGTTCAATCCAACTTCAGGAAAGAGTAGACTGCTTTTAGGATTTTCTTTATTTTAATCATCATTATAGTTCAACTACGCTAGGCTGTCAAACGATTCAATAAGTATTGTTGTGAGATAAGCGAAAAAAATGAAAATCAGAAAGGATATCGAATAACTTGGCTTTACTTTATTATATAATATCAATGATTCCGCGAAAAAAACGTACTATAGTATGCTGAGATACCATCGAAATCATAGAGCTTATGAAACATTAGTATTGTTCATTTGCGTTTGCATTTTTTTCAAAAAATGCATCGAGAGCTTCGGCTATTTCATGTTTTATTGCTGATGTGAGTTCTGGGGATAATACCACTGGTGGATTCACAAAGGCTATAGTTTTTCTAAAAACTTCGGAATAATCGTGTCCCAGTTGATTTTCTAAACTTTTCAAAGCAATTTCAACTGCTTTTGGAGAAATAAATGAGGATGCATGTTGATCGTTTATCAGAACGTTCAATAAACCATGCGCAAGTTGTTGACTATCGTTGTTCTCATCCAATGTGTTCTGATAACGATTTAATATATCAACAGCATTTAAAGTGGTTTGTGGTCGAATTAATGCATTCACTTGAATATGGAGAATAATAGTAGCAAGAAAAGATAATTTAAGCGAATAATTCATTCTAAATCAACAGGAAACAAAACGATAACATGTAATTTACAGTCAAATCAGTATGTGAAACAGTAATGTTTGAGATTTCGACGTTTCCTACCTTCTTGAAATAGGGAGAACTTTCAGAAAATTGTTAAAGCTAAACAAGTAATACTTTTAAGAAAATTTTCAAGTTTTAATACTATGATGAATAAAAGTATGAGAAACTTTTGAGAACAGATTGAAAGCGTTACTTTTTCGCACTGTCCATGATATATTTAACTGATGAATAATACAGATCGTTTCAGGGCGTATTTTTTGAACAAGGGCAACATAACCCAATTTTGAGAAATACATTATGTTAGACAGAAGTCAGAATTACTGTTTCTTTATTGGGTAGAACAATGAAAAAAAGAAAACGACAGTTTGAATAAATAGTTGATAAATCCAATTATATTGATTAGAAAACATACTGATATATAAAAGAAAACATATAGGAAAACAAAGTTCTTGTTTATTCCATTGAACGTTTTGTTTTGTCGTGTGAAGAAACGTGTCTAAATTCAAACTAAAAAAGAAACTTTGATAGATATCATGGCTCATGCCCAAATTTCACACACTTTCATCCACCCACACACCGCCTTTGAAGATTCTTTGATCTCAATGTGAGATTAATTAAAAGTGTGCGGAGTTCGAGAAGTAACGGATATCATCTCTCTTCGATTTTGATGAAATGTATATGTCAGCGTCCAAAGTGGGATTGGAATGCCGGATCCGAGTTTGAACTAGTCCACACTAGGATCCCACTTTGGCCTAGGGCTATTTACAGTCCAAAGTTGGACGACAGTCTGAACTATTAATAGTTCAAAGTGGGTGTGAAGAAAAAACTGCAGTCCAGTCTGAGATTCTACATTGATTTGTTTTGCACCTACCTTTGCATGAACAAGTAATACCATTAACAGCCCCTCTAACATAAAGTTTTGAAGCTGTTATCATCAATGCTATTTCTTTCATACCATCAGTTCTCATTCCCAATAAATCCTATGGAACTGCTGTGCGTTTAATAAGGTTTTCTAAGTAAAAGAAAGACGCTGAGAATAAGAAGATTGAGTCGAAAACATAAATAAAAGCGTTAGTGCGTCAAGTACTGAAGAACATTCTTGCATACAGCAAATACAAGCTGGCATTGTATAAAACATAAATAATTCCCAAATTCTGAAGAAAATGAGATGTCGCCGAGCGCTTTACGACATTTTTTCATGAAACAGCATTCAATTTACGGAAGTCTCCATACTAGCAAAAGTAACGGGAAAACCAGAAGATGCGCGCTTACGGCCCTCCGAAAATTGAATGCTGTTTCATGAAAAAATGTCGTAAAGCGCTCGACGACGTCTCATTTTCGTCAGAAATGTTTGCTCTACCTGATGGACGTTTTCCGAGATTTCGGTTTTTCCAGAGACCTTGGTTTTAAGAGTTTGGATAAAACCTTTTTATACAGCACATCAGATCGGAAATTCTTTCAGCTGTCCAAATGCTTTTTCAAATAAATTCTAGCTAGTATGATCGACGAGAAAAATGAAAAATAAAGGTGGCGAACAATTTTTGGACCCATTCTAGGTATAAGAGACCAGGTTTTAATACCCAAGCACCACTGCCAAGCTTCCTTGAGTTTTCTATTGACACATGTTGTAGCGTTTGACACGACGCATCGAATGATATATGAATGATTAGAGATCCTCTTTGGTTTCATAGAAAAAAGTGATCAAGAGTTCCCTTGGCACAGCCGCGACGTATGGAAAAGTCTAGTATTAAACTCAAATCTGCTGCCAGGCTTGCTTAAGTTGCATTTTAGCTCATGTTGAAGACCTTTTCAAGACGCTTCGAATTATGTATTGCACTGGACTTCATATTGGATAGTTAGAAATTTCGATATTAAATAGCTCTCGTAAGTTATTCAGTTTGCCTTCTTTATATGCCAAAACTTGACTAAATATATAGAATAGATAACAGCGAAAATCCGACGTTTCTATCACTTTTCACTACCAAGTAATTCCCTCTTTACTGAAGTTATGTAAGGTTTGACTTACAATTTGTCCCGCAACCAGCTACTACGTACGCTACACGTCAACCGGGCTTGATAAAAAGTTTCTTTTTTTACCATAAATGTTGTCTACTCACACGATGATCCTGTATAAATAGCAAAGACTAAGATTGCTTTATAAGGAAGAAAAGCGGAAAATACGAAATGTCCCGTAACTGCTTTTTTTCTGTAACTTTAACATAACACGCGCGAATAAAGCCAAAGTTCTAATGCAGAGGCTTCGAAACATGTTAAATTTAATGTAGTACATAAATAGCGTTTGGATCGAAAAAAATTCAAAAATTTTTTTCGAAAGTAGACTTTTTAAGAGATTTTTTGAAAATCAGGTCATAGCTCAAGAACTTCAAGTACCACTATCCATTCCAAAATACAGTGTGGGTGATTGCGACATGAATAACTCGAGAACGGGGTGAGTTATCAAGATCAGATTTTCACCATCGTGTAGCGTAATGATATGTAGAATCAAAATTTTTGCGTGGATTTCTGTATAGAGAAAAAGAGGCGGAGTGGGAGGCTAGCAAACCTAGAATGCGCCGGAACAAGCGTTATCTTCTCAAGCTTCCTATCATTTATTTATTTATTCAAACATTACAAAAATTAAAAGATTAAAGAATTGAAGGGATTTTAATAAACATCAAGTTTTAGTTGTTTGCTTGTTGTTCCGTGAGCACTTTTATCGTCCGTGTGTTCAATATACCCTTGTCCTTCTTGAACTTTACTTCGATAATACTGAATCAGTGCATTGTTCTTACCACCCGTATAAGGTTCTGTTGCATCCAGAATCGAAGTGCCACTTGAATCTGTCTTTCTGAGTGAAGCAGGTGCTTCCGCAATCAAATTCTCTGAAGTACCCGATTTCATTGATCCATCTTCACTTGTCATAACCATAGCACCATTGTTGCCCCGAATGTAGCTGATATCACCAAACGTCATGTCATTCCAGGCGTTGAAATGAAATTCAGCCCATGTGGCCGGTTCATTGGATGCACCAGTCAATTTTTGTGCACGACCTTCCCACCCAGCAACAAACTCAACCGTTTTACTTTGACCCGGTAGAACGGTAATGGTTTTTTCCGCTGTAAACGATGGTTGAAAAGCGCCGGCATTCTTGAAAAAGCCAATATTCTCTGATTTGGGACCCTTGTTTGTTACGGTTACGGAATTGCCTTGAGCCAGCGAGAAACAGGTGAGAACAGATACGATTGAGATGAATAGAAATGTCATGTTTTGCGTAGACACGAGTGCCGTATGAGATCTAATGGAGTGTACAACTCAATATATATAGTCGTCAAGATAATTCTTTACTGTCAGCGTCGTTCCAGATAAAAAGTGCATAGAGAGACATAGTATACCTCAAGAGAAAAATAAAATATAGTCTACTCTTCTCTTTCAAGGTCAGCGGTCGAAGACCATTATGGACCTAACAATAATATAGATGTTGTCAGTACATGATCACAAAAAAGTAAATTATAAAAGGCTGACTATAAAACTATATAGCCAGTCTGTTGTCAATAGAAAATGAAAGAGAAGAGTAGACTATATTTTGTTTTTCTCTTGAGGTATACTATGGTCTCTACAACATAAAATTGTATGTAACGATTGAATCTAAAATTTGCTACGTAACGATTTTTGAATTTCGCTTCCGTTCATCATCTACACGTGCTTTAAGTCAGAACTCTAAAAATAACCCTAATTCGGCTGAGTCAGGCCTCCCGATGAGGGGAGGACCTCCCTAAAAACATTTTTTAAAAACTTTCGGCAAAATCTTTGACATTCTTCTAGAAGCACATGCATGTAAAAATTTAGAAAACTTGTTTCCGCCAACCACTTTCTGCGAAGAAACACTTTTAGCCTCTGCCTCCCTGAGAACAATGGGATACCCTGGGCGAGGTATTTGCCAACGATATCTAGGAGATACAATTTTGCTCCGCTAAAACCATGTTCGGAGAAAAGGGTTAAACAAGTTTAAAGTGCATAGTGGCAGAAGATCTAAGGTTCAATACACTTAGACACCTTTTCCATTTTTTGTTTTGAGAATGAGCATTATATGTTTCTTACCCTAGTCGAGACTCCCGGCAAAATTCCAACGGGAGTCCCAAGTTTATGAAAAACTCCAGCAAGAATCGTAAGGAGTCCTGATGACTCTCGCAGGAACTTTCTAAAGTGAAAAGTCCAACATGGAGTCATGAGGAGTCCCAAAAAAATTCTTGCAGGAGTCCTGTCGAGAGTCCTGTTGGAGAAAGTCAT